CCAGTGTTAATTTTTTTGTTTTATTAAATATATTCAAAGGCAGAATAAAATATCTTTTGGAAACGCCATCGTGGTTCGTGGATAAAGACCCTGCAATCCAACTGGAAAGATTAATAGGCTGGCACGTGTTAAGATCAGAAAGTTGATTGTCAAATTCGTTACGGATCTGGTGTGAGCGAGTATTACCAAAAACAGAGAAAAACCATTTTTTATTTTAGCAGTATTAAAAAGGTCAGTTTATAGTAATTAAAATCGTAGATAGGCGACACAGATTTATTGAATCTTCATAAATAAGACAATCCCATCTCTAGCAGGTTGACCCAGACAAAGGTGCAACATGACGAAGAGTAACTATCTGGATTCAACTCGGCTCACATTTTACTCTCGCCAGTGGAAGACGAACTCATCCCCTTTGCAATCTCTCTCAGTACAAACTTCTGAATCTTCCCCGTTGAGGTCTTGGGCAATTCTTCCTTAAACACCACCGTTTTGGGCACCATGTAGTGTGGCAATTTAGCTCTGCAATATTCTATAATCTCCTTTTCACTCGGTTTCTGAGTTAACCCAGCTTTCAAACTTACAAATGCACAAGGAGTCTCTCCCCAGTAGTCATCTGGCCTAGCCACCACCGCTGCTTCAATGATTGCTGGGTGATTATACAAAACGGACTCAACTTCAACGCTGCTAAGATTCTCTCCACCACTAATTATAACATCCTTTGAACGATCTTTGATCTCCATATATCCATCAGGGTGCATCACCCCAACATCTCCGGTGTAAAACCAACCATTCTCTTTCGTGCACTTGTTTGTCCCATTTGGGTCTTTTAAATACCCTAACATGATACAAGCACCCCTTAAAACGATCTCCCCTAGCGTTGACCCGTCTCGTTTTACACTGAGTCCTGACTCAGTGTCCACCACGTCCGCTTCCGTCATTCCAAGAGTTCTCACTCCTTGTCTCGCTTTCAGCCTCGCTCTCTCCGTCGCTGGCAACTTGTTCCATCCCCTTTTCCAAGTACAAGACACGACCAGCCCTCCTGTTTCGGTTAACCCGTAGCCGTGGCTCACTATGAAACCAAGTGCCTCGGTCCTGAAAAGCACAGCCGCTGGCGGTGGAGCTCCAGCAGTCAAGATTTTGACAGGAATTTGGAGTGGTTTAATGTCAGGAAAATTTGATAACATGTTAAGCACGACAGGCGCTCCGCACATGTGAGTGACACCATGTTTCTTGATCAGACTGTAGATAATGGGGGCATCGAATTTTCGGACACAAACATTGGTCCCACCAACAGCCGCCATGCCCCAAGTGAAACTCCACCCATTTGCATGAAACATCGGGAGTGTCCACAAGTAGACAGGTTGTTTTGGAACTTCCCACTCGATTAAAGAGTCAAGTGTGATCATGAAAGTTCCCCTGTGGCTATGAACCACTCCCTTGGGAGATGAGGTCGTACCTGATGTATAGTTCAAAACAATTGGATTCCACTCACTTTGAGGTCTAACCCAATTGAAATCAGGGTCACCTTTCTTCACCAGGCTCTCGTATGTGCAACAGAAGCGAGAATCAACGGTCGAAGAAGAAGAATCGGAACTCTCAGCATCAGCAGAATCATCTCCGATTAAGACAAGAAGTGGGGGCTTCGAGTTAGGAGGAAGCAAGGAGAGGGCTTCCAGGGCTAGAGATCGAGACAGGGTATCAACAAAGAGGAGCTTTGATTCGCAGTGGCGTAGGAGTATGGAGACCGTACGAGCGTCAAGACGGGTGTTGATGCTGTTGAGGACAGCACCAGCCATGGGAACAGCAAAGTGAAGCTCGTACATGGCAGGGATGTTGGGGGCTAAAACAGAGACGACGTGTCCCCTTTTGATGCCGGTGGATGACAGGGAAGATGCTATCTGGAGACATCGACGGTGCGTGTCTGACCACGTGTAGGTAGTGTTATTGTAGATAATGGAGGTGCAATCACCGTACACGGTGGCTGCTCTTTCTAAGAAGCCTAACGGGGTGAGGGGGTAAGAACTTGCAGGCCTTGGCTTTAGCTCTTCCATTTTTTTTCTCCTTCTGGTCTCTTTCCTCCTCTTAGCTTATGAAACGTGGTTGGTTCCTATTTCTCTTTATACGTGGATTGACTCGGTAACGACAGGGTTTAACTACTACTAAACAATAACAATGGAAATTATTCAGTTATTATTTTATAAGAAAACGGAAGAAAAAGAAACAGATAGATGGGTGTGTACCTGGTCGTCAGTTTTATCTTTATATAAAAAAGAGACGAGTAAAGTCAATGCACATCATTGATCGAATTATTTGTATATTATTTTTTAATATTAATGATTAATAAATATTTCAAAAAAATTTAAATATAATTAAAAGAGATTTTAATTTGTGATAGATATGATTTATTTAGTTTTAGATAATTATTGATTTATGTTAATTATTTAATAATTTATTACTTCAATAATCAAATTTGCCAATCTTTAAAAAATATTATCTATTATTTTATTAAATTTTAATATAAAAAAAGAGATCGTTGAGCTAAGATTAGTACTCATATGTTTTTTATTTGTTCTCTAATTCAAGTTTTTATGGTTGAATTTAAAAATAGAAAAACAAAAAAGAAAAGAAGATAAAACTAAACTTTCTAAAAGCATCCAAAACAATATTAATAAAGTAATAAACAGGACATTTTATTTAACATCAAGGAAAGCCCAAACTTATACAACTCAATAAGATTTCGTTCTATATTTGTTTTTTTCCTTTAGAAATTTAGAAAAAAATGGAAACGAGAGAAAGAGAGCAAGAGATAACATATGAAGAAGTTGCTATCGGCTCCAACTAAGCCAGTGGTGGTCCACTTGGGCCATTGCCAAATCAGACATTCCTATCAACGATAAAGAAGAAGATAACTTTTAAATTTTAAATTGAAATCGCATCATGTATAAAATTTATTCATTTTTATGTTGAATTTTGCTAATTATATATTAATGTATTTTTTAAATTTAAAGAAAAAAATTTTAATTTTACTTTTTTTATAAAAAATTATATATTAATGAATAAATTAAATACTTGAGTACTAATTATATATTAATTTATTTATTTTGATGTTATTTCATTAGTAATTGATCATAAATTTTTGCTTATACTTTTAACTTATTAGATTGGGCTTGTTTATCCTGCGGCAGCTTGCTGGGGTTGGATTCCGAAAACATCCTCGGTTGGTCTGATCGATGCCAGATAGTAATGCAGTTAGGGATGGATTTACATTAAGATAAGTGCTGTCGCATGGTACCACTTATTTATTGAAGTCTCATTACAGAGTACCAATTTGTTGACCCTTTATTCCTAATTTCCCCAGAAAATATCCATTACCAAACCGTTTGGTTGGAAATTTTCATATTTTATTACCTCATATATATAAGCCACACAATTCTCCTGGTATTAATGGGACCACGTAGCAGCGCTGGTGAAGCCTCTAATGTAGAACAGGGTAGCTATTATGAAGTTTCATTCTTCAAATTCTGAAACCTCAATTTCAATCATTTGGCCTTCTCAAAGCATCTCACAAGAAAACATGTAGACTTGAAAATTTGATATACGATGTGATAATACGACACAAACGCAATATAGATTTGAGTTTAGGATAATTGTATTTTATACATTAATTATGTCAATACGATTAAGATATGATTTATTGTCTCAAACCTACTTAATTTTTTTAAGATTTATTTAAGATATAACTAATTAATTGCATTATCATGTATTTGTATAACTTATGATCTATTTATTAATTATTTATTTAATTGTGTTTATATGTCGAGTAAATATGTTTAGTATATGATTAAGACTCGTTTATTGACTCGTATAAATATTAATATTTTTATGATGATTAAGATTTATTAATGTTGAATTTTATTATATTTGATAAATATTATGATTTTTATGATTTTTATTGTAAATTTGAATAATATAATTATATTTTAATTGTATATGTATATTAATTTAATTATATTAAACATATTAATCATGTAAATAAATTATAAATTGTATAAATTTTAATTATGTAAATAAATTATGTCATGTCATATAAAATTTAACTTGATGTTTTTAATAAACGTACTAGTTGTGTCATATTACATATTTAATAAACTTATTTATGTATGTGTTTAAAATTTTGATGATATAATTAATTAATTGTGTAATCAATTTACTATATAAGTGTGATGAGAAGTCGCAGCAATCATGATTTTCCTTTTCTCTCGCTAAAATTTGGAGAGTGATTACTGATTGTTACTGATTCTCGACATGTAGGGCATTCAAAGAAAGTAGTGCGCATGGGAAAAACTGAGCTTGAATACATACATCACACATGTACCCCAGCAATACTTGGTAGTTGGAACTGTAATAAATAAATTGCTACGGATATAAGAGGTTGTCTGCAAGGAAATGTGGGCAAAATGGGGAATTCCTCCAGAATCTAGACCTCTAGTGGAGAGCCTAATGTTCCTTCTTTTCTTTTCTTGTTTCCCTATTTCTCAATTTCTTGTATTCGTCGGCTCGTAGCTTGGTTTCCCAACTACATTTTTGTATTCTTGTAGGAGGCTATCCCCTGTTTTCTTGGATAAATGAAATTTCAATTATTCAAAATAGGAGGATATAATTTAGATATGCAATTGCCAGAGGCTTTACTGTGAGATCTTGTGAAATTTTTGATTAAAGGAATTGTGGAATCCCACCCGCCGGCAATGTTAGAAACCGTTTGAAACTTATGGACAATGGTGACCTTGAATGTATATTCAGGATATGCTATGGAAAGGGAATCTTTGCTTGGGATTTTGGGCCAAAGTGGGGCAAACCACTATCCTCGGGCTAACTAGTATTGAAAACCCACCTCCAGGTATCAACCTATAACTAGCTAGTTTCGAACGTTTGCAAGCCGAGTTTGAGCACTAAAGTCCAGCACCAAAAAAGATGTGGATTTACGCACAAAGCAAACAATGAATTTTCCCAGTTGCATTAATCTCCATTTCTAAGCACAGCCCACATTTTTCCAATAAATGTTCATAACAAAATTAACAGGGGCAGGGAGACATTAAAGAGGCTATGGCCAATAATACTCTTTTAACTCTTTAAGAGGGCTAGGTCCTTGTAGCCGATCAACCGGGAATTTCCTTCCCAAGCTCGCATTGTAAAAGCAAGGTGTCTATGCATGCGATGCGATGCAAAAGAAGATGGGAAAAGAGAGACAGTAAACCTTAGAATTCCAGTTGTACAGTCTGCATCATGAGTTCATGGCATTATACTCTGTCTAGTTCCATCTTCATGGTTACATTACCTTAAAGTAGTAGAGGTAATTGATTTCGCAAACTTAAAAGGAAATTTCAAATGCCTACCTAGGAAAACGCTGTCAAACTTTGAGTTTTGAATAGTTCTGCAATAGAAGTGGGCAAATTGTTTGATTATCAAACTTTGATCAATACAGTGCGTTGATGAATGCAGCCAGTCTCGGGGCAGGAGCATACACATTATAAAAACGCAAGCCTTTTTCCCCTCCTACAAATAAAACACTTAAAATCAACGAATCTTGTGAAAGAATATCAGCAGTAGTCAATGACTCATTTCTATGGCTAGTGTGATGCACGCAACAGAAAGGAGAACACAAGTTAAAAGGTTCAGGCATTGCTATCTACCTATTATCTTTAGGTCTGAGCTCGATTCCTTCGATAATGAGGCCTCGCTTGGGCTGATTATCATGAACTCCCCGTAGATAAAACTCCACTCTCGTATCATCTCCACCTTCGTTGAGGAACTCACCCATTTCAATCTCCAGCCAGCCATCTCCCCTCTCTTTAGCTTGCTGGGGCACATTCGGTGGAGGGTCTAGGATTACACTACGCACCTCCCCTGAAGCGGTTCCTTCATTAATGATGACACGAAACTCCACCGGTGTATGCCTAAATCCATATCTGTCCCTGACAATCTTAAACACAAGGTATGCTGAATAGTTCGTTCTGTAAGATAAAGTTTTCAACTCAATCCTTCCCTTCACATCGAGCCTCCACACTTTCTTGAGCTTAGGAACCTCAGAGAATCTGTCAATGTAGTCGAACATATATTGATGCCAATGATCACAAATTGACAATAAGATGCCATTAACAACAGCAATAGCTAGCAACAATGCCATTCTGTAAGTATATATATTTATGGCAGACTGACAAAGTTTTGGGGCAAATGATCTTGTCTTTCCTCAACGTTGTTCCAATGGCAAACATGTTAGATTAGTAACTTGAGAACATAATTAATGAACAAAAGAGAACAAACCTAGACTCCGGTAGAGATATCCAACTCCAATAGTCAGGAGTATCTGCCCATTTAATTGAAAGTGCTCTTGCTCCTAGCATATAGCATTTTTTCCCGTTCTCTTTCTCCAGTCGAAAGCTCTAAAGACCACCAACATTAATTTTTTAGAGAATTACATAGAATGGAGCAAAGGAACACTATACATATATTCCTCTGTATAACTCTTCTTAAATTTAAATTCATGAAAATTGAACCCACCGGAAAGAACATCTTGATAGCAATTTGATTGGTTGCAAAGGAGAGATAAAAAATTCTTACTACTCCTACACCAGAGGCATCTCACTTGCAAGTTTTTTACAGCAATCTTGTATTTTCCAATCATTATAAAGAATTATGCAGAAATCTTTCATTTGTAAGTGTGGGTTCAACATATTGTTTTGATACATCGTACATAATTTAAAATTATAATTAATTAATTGTAATGTAATAAGGATAAGAGATATGTTCCTTTCTTACACCTCACAAGTGATAATAATTTTAAATATCTTCTTTCAAACAAAATCATATCCCTTCAAATTCGAACTAACTATACCTTCAATTTAATTTGCTATATACAGTGTCTACTCTATCGAATCATCAATAACCAACAAAGAGCAATGAATTCATATTAAAGTGAATTGCAGAATATATTTACACGTGTACATATAAACTTTATTGTATCAAAGATGCAAAACGACAACCAGACGTACCAAAACAATAGAAAAGAATGATGCAAAACTAGTAAAACGGAGACAAGTTCCTAGCAAATTGGAGACGGTAGATACTCAATGTTGGCTCGGGGGCTCACCGTAGTACCGTCATCAAAGAGAATGGAACGATGACAGAGACTGAAATACAGATCCTTCTTTGGTAATGAAAGCAATGAAGGTGATGATAATGATTTGGAGATGATTTCCTTGTAATCACAAGGCAGAAACACCTGCCATACAGCGTCAGAGTCTGCAACTGACCTCAAAGCACGAGAAACAAGGGCCATTCGACAGGCATCTCGAGGGGACGTAAACGATATGATGAGAGACATGCACTCGTCCGGTAACACCCTGGTCATGTCCATGTTTTGTTCTTCTGTGATTGGAGAAGAGGCGAGACAAGGGAGAGAGATGATTGCTTTGAACTCTTCTTTTCTCCTGTATCCTGGACACGTACGTTACGTTTATTTTATTTCCTACTTAAAACAGCCGGGCACGTTTCTACACATGGCATATTCACTCAATTATTCCAATGATATAACCTTTTTGCGCTTTTTTTTTGCTTTATGCATGTAATTTTGAATTACATAGTAAAATTCTTTTTTTTTCATTTATAATTTTTTTTGGATTATGTATTGAAAATGGATTTCGTATATAATCTCACTATTTTCTGTGTTTCTAAATCTGTAAATTTCGATTACTTATTAAAAGACTTTTCTTGTTCATACATTTCATGCTTCTTAATATTTCCCATGTTTTAGGTCATGATGTTTTCTCTTTTGTGAAATTTAATCTCTATTTTAATTTAAGAAAGAAAATTTAAAATGAATTTTTCTTGAGATATTGTTAATTTTATATATATCAACTTAATTTTTGGATGTTGAAAATTTATTATTTTCAATTTTTACATAAATTATATTTATTTTCTCAGAAAATATTTAGATAAATGTTTAAATTTCGGGTTTTGACACCAACCCAAAGCCTAAAGAATCTCACATGAAAAGAAAACCAAAAATACTATTCTTTTATCTTTTTCAAGCCTACCAAGACAAGTCGACCAATATCCTCGTCAAAGATAAGCGAGGAATGGGCATAGAAGACTTATTCCTTTCCCAATGCCTCAAGGGGTAACCTCCCAATAAAAGAAACAATATTATTTTATCAAATTGTATTAGCTTTATTAATTTCCCAACGAAAGTCAAACATGAATTATTCTAGAATTGAAATAAACACGTGCCTGAATTGAATGCCAATAACACAGTCATCTCTCTTGTACGTCAAGACACCCTAGGGCCCAACTTAATTGCATGGCTGTTTATTTATTACTTATTATTATTATTATATGATCATAAGTAAGTTGACCCTTTAATCCTTGTTTAAATTGGTTAGTGTATAACATATGACGTTACCATTAACAAAATCCGGAAGAACTTAAAAAATTTCTCTCTTTGTTTTTTAACACGCTATCTCTATGACCCATTTTATCCGAATGGCTGTCAAATGACATTATCAAACGTGTGAAATATCAAGCCTGAAAATTTCTTCCACAATCCCCGCCCTGAAAAAAGGCTAATAAGAATGTTTGCTTGAGATGCAAATTTTCTTGCAATGAAGCTAGAAATGGTTAATGGAGGTTTGGCTTTAAACAAGACAAGGTGGAGACGCAAAACGTTGTCCACATTGAAGAGAAGAGGGCATTGCAATCTATGAACTTTGCTTAGGCCTAACTTCAATTCCTTCGATAATAAGACCATGCTTACTAACCCAGTTATCAATCTTCCGTACACAACAATTTACGACCCCGTCTTCTTCCTTTTCATTGTAAAACGCACCCATCTCAATCTTCATCGATCCATGTCCTCTGTCTCGAGGAAGTTGAGGCATTCCAGCCGGGGGATCTAGGAACACTTTGCGCGTCTCAGCCTCTTTCTCTTGGAATTTTACTTGGAAATTTACATGGCATTGCTTGAATCCTTACCTATGCTCTGCAAACTTAAATACCAAGTAAGCTGCGTAGGTTGTTTTGGGGGACAAGATTCTGGTCTCTATGTTTCCTTCGAAACCAATCATGGTAATACCCCAGAGTTCAGCTACTTCTGAGAATCTGTAAATGCATTGTCACAACAATATAATGGTAATTGATAAGAATTACAAACAAATTTAATCATGCATCCATGTTTCAACCTGGGTTTAGGGGTTAGAATCCAACATTCCTTATTTGATTCCCCACTTGGATATTTGGATTCACATGGTGTGGCAGGTACACAGGTTTGAAATAACTGAGTTACACCTGACTCAATTGGTTAATCATTCAGTCCACAGTAAGTTATCGTGGATTCAATGTTTACCGATAACCCTCGTTAGTGCTAATCTTTATTTCTCTCTTTCGTAAGTTAGGACGCATCTTCTATTGACATGGGACTGAGCATTCTCTCAATCGCTGAAATTTTCTGGGGAAAAGGAAAAACTGTGCTAAAATGGCATTGAATTTCAGGAACATCCTATGGTCACTGCTGTACTCAGAGTTGATTATTTTAGAGATAATACTACTATCAACAAGAACACTTGGGAATGAAAAACTGAAAAATGATTATGAAGAAGAAAGGAAACAAACATGGATTCTGGTAGAGATGTCCATCTCCAGTGTTTCTGTTGGTCTCCCTGTGTAATTGACAGCCCTCTTGCCTCCAGCATATAGCATTTTTTCCCAGTCCATTTGTCCAATGTAAAGCACCGTGTGTTAAACGAGTACTCAGCCTAATTAAACTTATTAGATAGATGAAGAAAAGAGAGAACAAAAGCTACTAATACATCATTAATGTTGTAATGTTTTTGTTTTCTTTCTATTATCAACCACTAATTACTAAAATTCTTAGAAGCTTATCCTTAATTTTTTCTTCAAAGTTGAACCAACCATTATTTATTTAGTTTAATTAAGTCATAGCATTTGTTTTGATGGAGAAAAACAATAAAGAAAACAAAGTGGCTAAGTATACTTGTGCTTACCATGGTACCATTATGAATGATGATAGGATTACTGCAAACATGGGAAATAGAGCTCGTTCTTGGACAAGGAAGAAAAATTTTCTGCTGAGCATGAGGATGCGTTTGAAATGATAGCTTGGTAATCAGATGGCAGAAACCTCTCCCAGAGAGTACCTGAATGGGCAGCCGATCTAAAGATCGGAGAGACAAGCAAGAACTGACGAGCACCCCTTGGCGATGTGAAGGACAGGATGTGAGATAAACACACTTCCGGTAATATGGCTGTCATATCCTCCTCCATCTCTCTTCTTTTCATTTCTTCTTTAATTTTTCTGTGTCTATTCCCAGCGTTTACCTTTAGCAGACTTCTGGTTAAATGCATACAAATATTTGGTTCAATATATATTAATAAAAAGAAAACTTCTGGGTTAATTAATGTCAATGATGAGTTATTGAGCCATTGAACAGACCGACCGACGACTTCTATGGCGTTTTGTTACTTGGTTCCAAAATTTTAGTTCGAGACAGGGCACAATTAAATTGAAATTCGGGAGAGCATTTAATATTTTAGCTCTAGTCAGCAGGGTATTCGGACAAGGAAAGAAGGGGTAAAACAAAGCATTGCTAATTACCATATGTCAATGTTAAAGCAATAATTTGTATCTTCCCTTGTCTTTGTCGCAATTACTATATAATTCTTTAGTCTGTATCATGACTCAACAAGTTACATATTCATTCTTGCTTCACCAGAGGTAGCGGATTGTGCAATCTTACAAACAGGAAATTCCAAATGCCTACCTTGGAGATTGTTGTCAAACTTTGAGAACAATTCGTTCTGCAATAGAAGTAGACACAGATCATTTCATTATTAAACTTTGAAAAAATATAGCCCCATTAATTGTTTGCAACACAATCTGCCTTTGGGGGCAAAACATTAACATGCAATGTGCAAGACTGCAAGCGTCTTTTTGTCCCCCCTTAAATGCAAAACACTTTAATATTCAAAATCCTGACCAAAAAGAAAGAAGAGCACAATCTAATATTGTAGGCATTGCTGTCTAGCTACCAATATCTTTAGGCCTCAGCCCAATTCCTTCAACAATGAGGCCTTCCTTGTGGAAACCAGAATTAACTTCCCATAGGATACAATCCACTGTCCCATCATCTCCACATTCATTCCAGAACTCACCCATTTCAATCTCCATCCACCCATTTCCTCTATCTCGAGCTTGTTGGGGCATATTTTCCGGAGGGTCTAGCAACACGTCCCGCACTTCCCCTGAAGCGCCTCCTTCGTTATTGACGCACAAGCTTACACTTCTGTTTCTAAACCCATATCTATAAACATCAAACTTAAACACAAGGTATGCTGCATAGCTTGTTCTGGAAGATAAAATTCTGGTCTTAAATCTTTCCCTTGACCTCGAGCCACCAGACTATCTCGAGCTTAGCAACTTCAGAGAACCTGTCAATATGTTGGAACAGGACAGAAAAATAAGTAGTAGAATTATGCAGATCGGCATAGTTTTCCTTAAGAACTTAAGTTGAGAACATCATCGAACAAATAAAAAAATAATAATAAGTGGAGGAGAGAACAAACCTAGACTCTGGTATAGATGTCCTCCCTCAATACTCAGGTGTATCTCCCCATATAATTGAAAGTGCTCTTGCTCCTAACATACAGCATTTTTTTCCAGTCTCTTTCTCCAACTGAAAGCTCTATTCAAACACCAGCAACCTTAATTTTTTCAGATAAATGCACAAAATGGAGGGGAAAACAAAACACTACTTTAAATCATAGTGCAAAAGATGCATGTTTTCCAATGTATAAATCGATCTTCTTAAATTTCGGTTCATAAAAATTGTAGAAAGGCCATGATTCCTTTTGGTCCATCAAACATCCCCTAAAAAATTCTATACATAAAATTGTTCGGAAATTTGTATTTAAATTTTAATTTCCAGGACATCTTCACAGCAATTTGTTATACTGGAAATGACTGATCAAGAATCCCTGATGCTCCTGTAGCTAACTGGTGGGAATACAGCTAGAGAAAAATCCCATTCCCTTCAAATTTGGATTACACCTTCAATTCGCTACTATCTCTACCTTTCTAATCACCAATTCACTTATAATAAACAATGGCAAGCGTAACTTTCACATATCAAGTTTGAGAACGGATGACAATCTTAATTTATGAACTTTTTTTTTTTGTGAAAATTCATGCAAATTAACAAATTAACTATTGAAATGAGCTTGCGACCTCATTGGGATGCATGTATATGTATATATTCCAACAGAGTTATGATCATGTAAGTCTTACGGTGTGAAAGAACCCTCAACTCAAAAGTTGAACTGGACAGCAATATATATGTTGATCATACCATTCTCTTATTTTTACCTTTATATATATATAAAATTGTTTTTGATCTAAAGGAAGACTAAAAACACATATACATTTATAGCTTTTTGCTAGTAATTAACTACATGATGTTAAAGCTGAGAAGAGAGTAAACGTTTCTTGCAGCAAGTTGGAGGAGTCAATGCGGAGTAAACTTGGGGTAATTACCTTGCTACCATTTTCAAAGAGAAGGGGATGAAGGGAGATACGAAAATAAAGATCCTTCTTTGGCAATGAAAGCAACGACGATGGTGATGATGACGATCCGGAAATGATTTCCTTAAAATCACAAGGCCCAAACCTCTCCCACACAGCATCAGAGTCTGCAACTGATCTCATGGGAGGAGAAACAAGGGCCGATCGACTTGCGTCTCGAGGCGACGTCAATGATATGATCAGACACAAGCACTCTTCTGGTAACACCCTTGTAAAATCCATTTTTCTACTTTATTTTTGGGGAGGAAGAGCAAAGGAGAAAAGATGGTTTCCAACTGTCCTCCCTTGTGTTCCCTGTACTCAGACAGTCCTTTTATTTTATTATTTATTTATTTATTATTATCATTTTTAAGTACACGTAGGTCTACTGTTTTGGACCTGTTGGTTATCTGCAGCTGAAAAAATATGGCTTCATTTTTCCTATCCGATATCGATATTTTATTTTATAGGTTAAATTATGCATTAATTTTTATATTTTATTAGAATATTTAATTTAATCTTTATATAATAATTTATAAAAATTAAATTTTTGTGTTTTTTTTTAAATTAACAATGTCAATTTAATATTAAAAATTTTTGATTATCTATATTGATGAAAAAATATTATAAAATGTTTCAAAATTAATAATTTTTATAAATTATATCCCCGTTACCTTGGCAAGAGCTCATACTATAAGGCACACAAGGGAATATTTTTCATGCCAATTTTGAATTGCTCTTACATCCACCATGTTAAATTCTAAGCTTTGTTTTTCAATACGCAAAACCCTTGAACAACAGTTCCCCTATTGCCCCCCCAAAGATTACTTGCTTTGAAGCCATTAAGAGAAAAGAGGAAACATTTGGCCAGAGAGAGGTTGGTACAAGTTTGAAAAGACAAGTATTTGTCGTAGTACCTCTCTATATTGAGAGACGCACTGGCATTTACAAATTGCGTTTAGGCCTCAGCTCAATACCTTCAATAATAAGGCCATGCTTGCTTGTGAAATTATCAACCTCCCATAGACTACAAGCCACTGTTCCATCATCTCCTTGTTCATTGTAAAACTCACCCATCTTGATCTCCATCCACCCATTTTCTCTGTGTTGAGATTGTTCACGTGTAACAAAGAGAGGGTCTAGGAACACTCTACTTGTTACACCACCCTCTTCTTCTTCAAATTTGACTTGCACATTTACAGGACTTCGTTTGAATCCATGTCTGAACTCGGCAAACTTATAAACTAAGTAAGCAGCATAGGTTGTTTTGGTGGATAAGGTTTTGGTATCTATTTTTCCTCTGATATCAAGCCAGCAAACAACCTTGAGCTCAGCCACTTCAGAAAACCTGTAAACACAATGCAACAAGAGTAAAATATAAGAATCATAATATAAAAGTAACAACAATACTAGTCAAAACATTCTGGCTTACAGGTTCGTGGTCCTCAACAAAGGGAAGAGGATAGGCTTGACAGTAAAGGAGGGGATGGCAGGGAAGCAAAAATATTGGTCTACAATTGCTAGCTTAAGTGTGCAAGGTTAAAATAGTTGTGCTTCCTCTTAATTATGCAGGTAGTAAGGGCATCTTACGATTTCTTATTGTTCTGGAAGAGAGTGATCTGATTAGGATTACAACAAATTATCTACACTAAAAATCAAAAACAAAGAATATGGAGGAGAGAAAAGAACCTGGACTCAGGTCTAGATAACCATTTCCAATAGGTATCAGTGTCTCCCCAAATAATTGACAGCTCCCTTGCCCCCAACATATAACATTTTTTGCCAGTCCATTTATCTAATGTAAAGCTCTGTGTGGAAAGAACAAACCTTGTTAAACATTTCCGATACAAGCACCAAGGGAGCAAAACTAATTACTGATAACTTCACACAAGGTTTCTGATTTCCTTTTACTCTGTTTTTGGTGAATTTTTAGGGAAAATGTTCCATCAAATATTATAGCTAAACAAGCATCTTCACCGCAGCTGCAAATGTTAACTTGGGTATATATGCCAGATACAATTGTTTGAAAAAGCAATAAATTCAATAGAAGTGAGACAGGCCTTTGTCATAGGATGCTGCAGGATTTCCAGTATTCTATCAGATTTAATACCTCTATTCCACAAGAGAATTTAATTCTTGAAGAAAGACGAGATAGGAGATCTAAAGTGCTTGTCAAACTTGGATAGTATCTTCAAACTAGAAGCAGCCTTGAACTTGAAGAGAAGTCACATTAATAATTTGCTAATTAAACCCAGAGTATTATATTTGATTAAAACATCGAAAAGAAACAAAAGAAACAGTAAAATTTCCTGGTTCAGAACAAGGGAGAAAACAAAAGGAGGATGGAGTACTGCTTATAATTAGCATTCAGCATAAACTGCTTAAAGAGCTCAAGAAAAGCCGGCGATATCTGAAATGACCAATCAATGCATAATAATTAACTTATCAACCTACTTAGCTTTAAGGATCAATTCCCTCCATACCTTATCAATTGAAAACAGTAGTAAAAGGATTTAACACTGGTGAATTTAGTACGAAATAAAGAAAGGATGCTTTGATCGAATTAGATCAATTCACTTAACCAATGCTAGTAAGTCTAAACCTGATTTATACAATGATATCCTAAACCCAAGTCCAATTTTCTTGCTTAACAGGAACTGATACGCTCTTCAAACCACAACCTTGAGAAATTGATAAGAAAATTGGGGTTTTAACTTACCAAAGAGCCGTTGTTAAGGATGACAGGATGATGACAAAGATGGAAAAAGAGATCCTTCTTGGACAAAGAATCCAAGGAAGACAACTTCAAGGACGACCTGGAAATGATGTCCTGATAATCAGGAGGCAGAAACCTCTCCCAGACAACGTCAGAGGAAGCAGCTGATCTGAAAGTAGGGGAAACAAGGGCTGACCTGCAGGCGTCTAGAGGTGATGTAAAAGAGAGGATGTTGGCTATGCAACCTTCTGGCAACGTGGGAGGTAATGTAAATTGCATTTTTCTTTCCATCTGCTGTTTCTACTGGATAATTGGAAATGAACTGTGAGCGACCGGGAATCAAGAATTCGGTCTGTAATAGAACTTAGGGAGGAAGTCTAGGTTTCTGAAGTAAAAGGGTCAATCAAAGGCAATATGGAATTATCTGACAAAGCTAGAACCTTTTGGTGTTCGTACTTTGATTACTTTTCTTTATACTTTTTTACTCGTCTCTTCATCCAATCAGCAAGCATACTACACCTATAAGCTTTCATGAAATGTTGGTTTAAGTACATATTTTCAATCTTAAATGGTTTTCCCTTCAAAGACATTTTTGCATTTTTTACAGTTTTAATCCCAACTAATTAACATATATTGAGCATCTTAAATATTAAAACCATACTTGAAATTTTTTTTTTACCCCTGATCGGAGACTATTTGGTCAAATAGATTAGTTTTGACTCTGAACGGAAAAGAAAAAGTGGAAATGCTCCTAGTCTGTTCGAAGTTAGCATTAGTTACAAGAAATAAATATAAAAAGTTAATTATTATTCATTATCTTTGTATCATTTCTGAATAGTCGGACTATTAGTTAATCATAAGATAAAATAATATGTTAGAATACTGGTGTATCTTTATATAATTTTTGTATTGTGGTTAACATTTTAAGAGAATCAACAATTAAATTTAATATTTTATTTTATAGACGTAGAATGTGTTTGTGTCAGTATATGCGCAGACCTGCTGTAAATGTTTGTATAAAGCGAGTTCAAAAAATATTTGGGCCGTCCATCGTGTGGGTGAACTTGGGTAAGGAGATGATCAATCTGCCTGGATGGACGATGTTTTGTACATGGACCAACCGGGGAAGAAGATGCAAAAATTCTATTACCAACACCTGCCCGTTGTGTTGAGTGAGACTATGCTGTCGTATTAAAAAGCTTTCCAAACTTTGGCATTGATTTGGGCATGAAGGTTAGGCATAGTCATAGCCTGATGCTTGAAAGGATTTTCCAAGTCCCCCAGCATTCACTACTTTATATAAAGTAGAATAATAAGAGTTAATATGTTAATGATGAAGCTCCCGCTCCACCCAGCCTTGCTTAAAACCCAATTAGAAGGCCAAGCTTAAAGCAAGGGAGTAAAAATCGTTGCACCAAAACCCAAAATTAGAAACCAAATTGCAAACCGTTCAACTCATCAACAGAATTTCTTCTCCTTGCCTACTTCAACCAACCATTGAACAAACGATTCCGCTTTTTTGTTTCTTTTTTCATTATTCCTTCTTTGTTTTGGTTCTATCATGGAAGTCATGAAAAACATCTATTTTGCATGATAAAACAATGGCAAGCGTGGTTTAGATGTAGTAGAAGCAAAACAAAACAACATCAACAATGGCAACATCAAGTCCAAAGAAATCTTCATCAAACGCTGCCCGGCCACCTCAGGCAGTAAAATTTTCCCGCCGGACATCAAGTGGTCGAGTTGTGAGCTTGTCCAGGGATGATGACATAGACATCTCCGGTGACCTATCAAACCAAAATGACTATATCAATTACACTGTTCTTATGCCGCCGACACCTGATAACCAACCAGGGTCAGGGCCCTCTTCTGACTCCAAACCTGACGGGCAACAAGGCACATACGGGGCATCTCGGTTCGCCTCAGACTCACAGCCGATAAGTAGTGGAGTAGAGGAGGAGGGTGGAGGGAGCGGGCCTGCAATGGGGGCGAAACTAGATAGAAGGGTGTCGATAATGAATTCAGCAAATAATAGGTCCATGTTGTTGAGGAGCCAGACAGGGGATTTTGATCATAATCGTTGGTTGTTTGAGTCGAAAGCAAGGTATGGGATAGGAAATGCGTTTTGGCAAGAGGATGATGAGAATCAATATGGAACGGATGGTGGAGTGACAATGTCGGATTTTATGGACAAGCCATGGAAGCCACTCACTAGAAAGGTTAAGGTTCCGCCTGGAATTCTTAGCCCTTACAGGTGCACAACCTGGACATATCCATTTGCACATTTAAAAACTATTCTGAATGGATTTTATTGGCAGATGAGTGAACCTTTTTTTGCTTTAAGTTAGAACAATATCAAATAGATTGTGCTTACTCAGTTTTTTAACGAGGTTTTTGCTACTAAGTCCGGAATAAACAAAAAATTTCACTAAAGGTCTATCTATGTATATGCAGAGCAATTATTATGAGCCACATTGAAATCATGCCAACTTATTACTATAGTTATTTTATAGTTTTAAGAATTATGAAAATAAGTAGATGAGTAAATGTCTCTTTTTTGGCTTTGGTCAGTTCCCTTTGCCTGCACCATAAGAATTAGCCATTATTAATATCATCCTAATATGGAAGTAATTGCAAGAGCATGTCAATGAGTTTGCAACATAGCAATATTCTTCTTTCGAAAAATAATCAACATGCAAAGCTGGAATAGGTGCATGGGGGCAAGGTGCATAGAACAAATATTACACCTCTTGCCTTTTTTATCATCACATGAGTAGTTAACGTGACCTTTATTCTCTATTAACAGGTTGTTAATAGTGATCCGTCTTGTAGCTCTATTTCTTTTCCTTGCATGGCGTTGGCAAAACCCAAATCCTGATGCGATCTGGCTCTGGGTACTTTCCACGGTTTGTGAGTGTTGGTTTGCCTTTTCTTGGCTCCTAGACATCCTTCCCAAGCTCAATCCCATCAACCGAGCCACGGACCTTGCTGCCCTCCGTGACAAGTTCGAGCAGGCTTCACCGTCCAACCCAACTGGCCGCTCCGACCTTCCCGGCGTCGACGTTTTTGTCTCTACCGCTGATCCTGAAAAGGAACCTCCTCTTGTCACTGCCAACACCATTTTATCCATCTTGGCTGCTGACTATCCTGTGGAAAAACTGGCCTGCTATATTTCAGATGATGGTGGTGCCATACTCACATTTGAGGCCATGGCCGAGGCAGTTCGTTTTGCTGAGGTAATTATTTATTGCAACTTTGGTGTCAAAATTCTTTTCCCATGATAACACCCTTTTATGTCAATTTTAAGTAATCTAAACCATCTCGCAAGACAAATTAAAAATAACTTGACATTAAGTTTCTAAGGGTGCAAAGCTGCTAATAAGTAATTCTGTTTATATCTACTCAATAATGATAACTATGACTAATCAAAAGTTTGAAATAAAATTTTAATTTGTATCTGTTGCTTAACGGGTTTTCTTTTATTTAATTACATACGCTTAGGTGTGGGTGCCATTTTGCCGAAAACATGCCATAGAGCCAAGGAATCCAGACAGCTACTTCAGCTTGAAAACTGATCCAACAAAGAATAAGAAACGGCCTGATTTCGTGAAGGACCGCCGATGGATCAAGAGAGAGTACGATGAGTTCAAGGTGAGGATCAATGGTCTCCCTGAGTCCATCCGTAAAAGGAGTGAAATGCACAACTCCAAGGAGGCAATGAAGGAGAAAAGACTTGCCAAGGAGAAGAATGGCGGCTCGCTGCCACCAGATTTCAAGGTCGAAAAGGCCACCTGGATGGCCGATGGAACCCACTGGCCTGGCACATGGCACAATCCAACTGCTGACCATTCCAAGGGGGACCACGCTGGAATCTTGCAGGTGATCAACACTCTGAATATTTTTTCCTTAAAAATTTGCAGTACTCGAATCAAACATAAGAGAAATGGATTAGAAACACACGTTTTAAATACAATTAAAATTAATTTAATAATAGTCATTTTGTGCCATTTTCATTTCTGATTCTACATATACCGCAATTTCCGTTGTTTCTTTTTTGAGGAATATTGAATTTTGAACTACCTACCTGAATTATGGAATATGTCATAGGTGATGAGTAAAGTCCCAGAAAGTGACCAGGTGTTGGGTCAGGCAGATGAGAGAAAGTTAGACTTCACCGGGGTAGACATCAGGATACCAATGTTCTCGTACGTTT